TTAAAGATGTGGTCTTCCAGGTTATTATGTCATTATAAATCAAGATTAATGGTACAAGGTGCTTTCAATGCTTCTATCAAATGAATAATGTGAGGGAGAGCGACGGGTGGAAGTGACGGAGCCTCTGTGGTGGATCTGCAGGGCTGTAATAATCAGTGCTCTGAACAGTGCGCACAAACGCACACTCTCCTCCGATGTGTCGGCCTGCTCGCTCTCTCACGCCACCTCACGCTGCAAACCTGCTGCCCTTTCACCTTCACCCTCCCTCCCCACACACATCTCAGAGGTACTACAACTGGGTTAGTGGCGCAGCAGGCGGCCGTGGTGGAGGTGGTGTGGACCGTTTCCAGGAATAACACTCGTCCCCTTCCCTGCTCTCTGATCCGTTGCTGATTTTCCAGTTTTCACATGTGAGCCTGGAAAGTGTGAGTAAGCATTTCCTGTGGAAAGCTACAGTGTCGGCGTAGTAATCAGGCTTCGGAGCGATGAGAAGGTGTGGAAACGTGGAAACGTGAAGAGAAAAGCAAAATGCTGCGTCAGCATGAGAGCTACAGCTTTGTGTTTGTATGACAGTGCAGCGCTCACAGCTCCACAGCAGTGCGCTCTGCGGCTACGTCCACACTGATCCGGAGAAATGTTTCGTCTGAAAACGCCCCGCGTCCACACCAGCGTTTTCAGTCGTTTTCACAGAGTTGTGCGTCCACATTGAAACGTCTGAAAACGCTTACGTTCCAGTCCTGCGCATGAAGAAGAAGATTCGACACAAGAAGATTCGACCTGCCTCATTTCCATCTGCCGCTTATTTACTCTCCGGCTCTTTGAAACGTGGCGGCAGAATGTGGAGGAAAAGCACCGAGTTTCTTAAATGGACTCACAATGAGGTGGAGTTGTTGCTGCGAGTAACACAAAAGTACAAAGTTGCAAAAGCGAGTGAGAGTTAAAGAATTTGAAGAAAAGCTCCCTGCAGCATGTACAGACTGATATTCATCTTTAACAGGGCTGTCAAACAGAACAGCTGCTGTGCAACGCCCTCCAATATCTTAGTTTAATTGGTCACATGACTGCATCACATGACCAACACGCATCATCGTTTTAGAAAGGCTCCGGGTTCGCTGTCCACACTGCGACACACTGCGTTTTCAAATGTTTCCGCTTGGAGAGCGTTTTGAAAACGCTGCGTTTGCCTTGACTGAAAACGCCGTCTCAGTGGGCGGGAGGCCAAACTGCAGGGTTAGAGCAGCTTTGGTGTTATCAACTAATGTCAAAGTGTGAGAAGCTAATAAAAAAGGAGTCTACTTGCTGGCATCATGGACACAAACATGTTTTCCTCCGATTCCTCACAGGAAGAATGTCCTGGCTTCAAATCCATCGGAGCCTTTATGTGTGGAGTCTGACTAACTGGCAAATGAGCTACAGGTATGAATGTGAGCACAGATGCTCCATCATCTTTCACAGCAGTCTGACCAGGACAAGCAGAAGAAAACAGGTACTGGTGTTTCTACAGGAAGTATTTAGTTTCCTAATGAAGTATTTTATGATACTAATGTGTTTAAAAAGAAGTGAAAACTTTGTAGAGTGAAGTTTGGAGGTCTGATGTGAGCAGAGAAACTCTTCCCTTCATCACCGACGGTCTGCGGACCCTCATGTCAGCGCTCTGTCTGCTGGACAGGGAACCAGAAAAGCATGGACAGCTCATGGCTGTGAGAATTGCACAAATTGCCGTGAGGTTGCATTGGATGAATGTCACTGAGCTGTGAGCGTTTAGCTTCAGTACTTCTCTAGCACATCAGCAGAGGATAAACACACGAGACGATGACAGAAGCCATCAGCCTCACCAGCCAGCACCAAAGAAGCACGTGAGCTTTGACAGCAGGGCAGGACGGCTGCAGGTCCAAGCTGTTCTCCTTTCAGGCGCCAGGCTGATTTGTTCAGGCTAATCTGATCTTTCAATAAACTGTTATTAGAGTTTAGAGAGTACCTTGGTACCTCTGCCATTGCCGGTCCCAAGCCCGGATGAGAAAGGAGGAGGGTTGGGCGTGGGGCTAGCAACCCCACCCTGTAAAAACTCCAATTGCTACGGAAACAGCAAGTGAATCTCAGTGTAACGCCTAAAAGATGCAAATACGGCAGCGCAATTTCAACTCGAATTGAGAAACCGCTTCCAGCTCCTTGCTGCGGAAGGAAATAACAACAAACATCCAGATACACTCTGGGATGAGCTAAAAGAGGCTGTGGTCGGTGCAGCAGAATCGAAGATTGGTCGCCGACGGGGCGGCTTTAAGGAGCGCTGGATCTCCGACCGTTCATGGGAACTTATAGATCAACGTCGCTTGGCAAAGTCAGTTCGGGACCAGGTGGCCTTTGACCCACATGCTTCTGCAGACCAGCGTGAGAGGGCCATGGCCACCTACCAAGACCTTGCCCGACAGGTCAAACGCAGCTGCCGGCGTGACAAGCGTGAATGGATCGAAGCTAAAGGCATCGAAGCCCAAGAAGCAGCCGATCGGAACGATACCCGAACCTTATATTTGACTTCATCATGCGACGATCAGTTGACCAAGCTGGCATCGGTGTGCCCTGGCACGAAGCGCATAATCTCACTGACTTGGACTTCGCAGATGACGTCGCCCTGCTGGGCTCGACTCAGGAAGACCTCCAAAAGTTGACCGCGGCCCTGCAGAGGGAGGCGACGAAAGTTGGATTATGAATCAGCGCCAAAAAAACCAAGGTACTCCGAGTTGGCTATGCACGTGCCCGCATTCCTGTCATGATCAGCCAACAACGTGCTGAAGAGGTGGAGAATTTTACATATCTTGGCAGCATCATCTCGAATGACGGGGTCTCTGATCGGGATGTCGATGCCAGAGTAGGGAAGGCAGTTGGTGTCCTGCGACGTCTCCAACCTATTTGGAACTCGACCTCCCTGAATGTCAGGGTCAAGATCAGACTACTGAACTCTATCGTCTTCCCTACTGCACTTTACGCTAGTGAAACCTGGCGCTCAACAAGTGCAATTATTCAACACCTGAACGTGCTCCAACAACGTGGCTTGCGGCGAATCCTGAGAATTTCCTACCGGGACCGAATAACAAATGAGGAGGCTTTCGCTTTGCGGGACATATTTTACGCCTACCCCCTCATTGCCCAGCTAAGATTGCCATGACATGGCGTCCACGCACTGGCAAGCGAAAGCACGGCCGACCAAAGACCACATGGCGTCGAACATTCATGGACGATCTGAGAACTGTCGACATTGCCTGGGACGAAGCTGAAGCAGTCGCTGCTGACCGACATCGATGGAGATCACTAGCTGCCCGATGCGCCGCCCGGCGTAGGAGGAACTAAGACTAAGACTAATCTGATCTTTCAATAAACTGTTATTAGAGTTTAGAGAGAAGCAGCGATTTAATGCTGCAGGGAAAGTTTAAGTCTTTGTTTTATTGCTGAAGGCACACAGTGTCTGCAGACACACACACGCAGCTACAGCAAACACAGCGAGGGGTTACACAAAGGTGCATGCACACACTCACAATACAATACAGTTTCATTTATATACACATTGAAAAACCCAAAGGCACCAAAGTGCTCACAATGATACAGAGACTCAGCATAATTCATTACAGATCGGGCACAGTCAGGAGGTAGGCACTCGCAGACCGGAAGAGTAAAATAGTTATGCTCAATTCAGGAGGATGAATGCAAAAACCAGCAATAAACGTTATTCTAGGTTTAAAAAGGGTATAAACTGAGAAAGCAGGTTAAATAAGTACGCTTTCCATCTCGATTGGAAGGATTGGCTAGAGTCTGAGGCACGAGCAGAAGCAGGGAGGCTTTTCCAAAGGTGCAGCTGGAGCAAAGGCACGATCACTTAGCTGCCATTAAACCGACTGTTCACTCAGACTCATATGCTCCAACTACTCTGCTGTTGTTTCCGGGCAGCTTTGCAGCAGGCTGCAGAACAAAACTGCATCACAGCAGTGCAGCTGTAATCACTTTATCAAACGTGATCATTTCAGCCAAAGTTCGTGAGCTTTGGAGTCGGACGCTCCTCCCAGACATGCACTTCCTGCTGTAAAGAGGCCCAGATGTTTGTTCCTGTTTCAAACAGGCCTGGCAGCAACATACTGTGTTATTCATCGACGTGCGTTCTTTGACCCTGATGTTAGAAACATCACTGTGAATTTTACTCAGCTCTGTTTCCTGCAGATGACACTGGTAATCACACACGTTTGACGTTTGACCATGATCGGAAGGTCGGGGGTTCGATTCCCCTGAACAGCTACCCTGAGGTACCCCTGAGCAAGGTACCGTCCCTACACACTGCTCCCCGGGCGCCCAGTGGCTGCCCACTGCTTCACTGAGTGAATGGGTTAAATGCAGAGAGGGATTTTCCCCACGGGGACCAATAAAGTACACTTTCTTTCTTTCTTCTTCTTCTTGACTCGGTCATAATTCGTTCTGTATGTTTAAAACAAAAAGTCTTTTTTAATCTGCGTGTTTGTTGGCAGAGACGAATCTTAGCGGTGGTGACGCAGCTGTGTCTGCAGCAGTGACAGCTGGAACAGGACTGCGTGCATCGCTCACTCGCCTGCCGCCGTGTCTTTGAACGACCTGCTCTCCTGCATTTCTACCACGACTGACCTTTAACATCTGATTTGTCCTTGTTCAGTTCAACACAGGGATTACAGAGCTTAATAATTTTATCCAGATTTAATTGTTTCATCTTAATCATCAAGTGTATGAAGTGAGCATATAATACTGGTCCAGCACGGTGGGGTGGGCCCAGCCTCAGGTCTCCCACCACACTCACAGGGTCAGGACACGACTTGTGTTGGAACGTCACACACATCACATTTCAGTGATTTGCATCGGGAGCCAACGAGTTAGGTAACTTGATTTGTACCTGCCAAAACTGCTTCACCGCTGTGTTATTACAGAAGAATGGGGTCACGTTCATCATATATTTAGCATATTTATGTGGCATTCAGGTTTCAAGAATCTCAGCATACAAAGCAGCGACACACACATTGTGCCAAAGTATTTCCAACCTGACGGCTCCTCCTTCAGCCCCAGCACCGACATCTCTGCTGGTATGTAGAGCGAGCTCTCAGCGTGCGCACACTGAGGTGAGGCCGTGTAATTAGCAGCTGTCAGGGAGAGAAACACAATCTGAAAACCAAACAGCAGCTTCAGCACATTCTGCTCTCCACATTTGTTTTTCAGGTGACATAATGACATCAGCTCACACAGACGGGACAAAGCCGCTCTCACAGGAACATTTATCAGTCGTCAGACGGCGTTTAGGAGGAAAATCATTTCAGTGCAGCTGTAATTCAGTTGTTTATAAAAACCTCTACAGTGTGAACGCTGACAAACAATGATGGGGCCCAGCTGCAAACACATAACTGTGTAATACTGATGAGTAAAGTGTCCAAATAGTCGTTATGATGATGATTTTAACAGAAACACTCTTTGATTCACAGTTTTAACAATAACAGGACTGTTGCTGGAGCAAGGCTTTAAATAAAAAACTGTAAGTCTAAAGTAGCCAATTAAAGTTGCTTCCATCTTTAGCTTATTAATAAAGTGCTTGAAACATCCTGCTGACATTCTTTAAATGCTCACATACGTGAAGTCGTTGAATATGTGCATGAAACAGAAATGTGCTCGTGTGTCGCTTCAAAGTGAACAAAACCAACAAACCGTGGATAGAAAAGTCAAAGTGACACACGAGCATTTGCTTGTGTGTGAACATCCTTGTTTAATGTGCATCTCTGTGTGCAGCTTTCATCCACAGGTAGCGGCTTCACACAAACACTCCTCTGCTCGTTCGGTGTGTTGTCTCTCTGCGATTCACACGCTCGTGGTCAGCGTCCTGCACGGGCGGCAGCAGGCGGGGATCGAACAGCAGAGACCTGCACACAGCTCACGCTGGGCTCTAAGCTCATGTAAGGAACAATAAGACTGAAACTTTGCATTTGCTTGGTTTCGACTGGCAGCCATGTGTCTCAGCATTCTTCAAATGATCTAACAGTTCTTCAGGTTCGTTATGCAACCTCACCTTGAGCTGGTATGTGAATATTTGCTTTTAATGGGAGCTGCCTGGTTGAACATGAAGCGTAAATAGACAGGTGTAACGTAGTCTGATCAGGGAGGGCAACCACTGTGCAGTTTCATCCTCAGGTATTCACAGAGGGGCGGGTGTGTTCTTTCTCAGCGTGTCACGCTTGAAGGCTGGCAGTGACCTCACCTGGTTAGTATTGAAGGATGTTTTTGATTGGTTCTCCAGCTTCGGTCAGGACACACATGAAGAATCTGTTCAGCAGCAGCGCTGTGGTCATGACTCCGTTTAAATCTGGGCTGAGAATGAACAGTCAGTGTTCTTAGGAAGGACCTGTCATACTGAGTGGCAACGGTCAGGCCGACTGTTCAACCAGACACGTTGTTGTTATCCTTCACGCACTGGCTCACAGGTGGCTGGTGCTGTTTCTCACCATGAGGTGACGTTTTTAGAAACACAACATCAGTTCCTTCACTCTCAGTCTGTGCTGCATCCATCTGGAGTAAGAAAACATGAGCCACAGAACATCTGAGCCTCTGAGGCCAAACTGATTGTGAGCGACTCTTCTGTCAAACAGCTGCTCAGAGTTACCACCTGCTGTGTGATGACTAGAGCTCTGCTGTGTTTGGGCCCGTGGATCTTTTATTCGTCCTGGGCAGCAGCAGCTAACGAAGGCAGATCATTCAGCTTCCCCGTGAAGTAAAGGAACTCTCCACAGAACAGCAGCAGGTCAGCCGGGCGTCGTGCGGGCCGAGGCCTCTCACGCTTCACTGGATCTGAAAAACAAAGACTGAGAGGAAAAGCGTCTGGGAAGGAAACTCTGTTGACTTCATTCGCACCGAGGCAACTTTATTTGAGATTGGAAAACTCTGTGACGGGGGACTCCCTCCAGAAACTACTACCAGATGTCTGCACCATCGCGCTGCTTTTGAAGTGTCCCTGTGCGCTGGTGTGCTCGTGAGCGTGAGTGCGTGTAACCCCGGGCGCTGTGATCCAGACACACGTGACTATGTCAAAGCAGTCTGTGAGTGTGGGAGCAGACGTGAGGGTGGAGGCCAGTGTGGAGCTGGAAACAATTAAGCAGCCTTTAATCTACTGTTGTAATCAATAAATGATTATAATTAAAGCGCTAATCTTCTATATCTGCTTCCAGCATCGCTGCTGGTTTTGCCTCATGTTATAATTTACAAGATGGATGTTTGCTTGATTTATGTCATTGTTATGTGTTTCTTGTTGCTTGCTGGGTGGTGTCTGTGGAGTTTCTCCGTGTCCACCCTCCGACCGAGACCCGGTGCTCCTGATAGAGGACAGGAAGGATCTGATCAGCTGCAGTTCCCTTTAGCAACACTTTAGTGTACAGCACGAACGTTTTTAAAAGTAGGTGTTTGTTCTTTAGAAGATTCATGTTGATGAGGACTGGAAATAAAACCCTCTCACGCAGGTTTACTGACACACTGCTGGTCATACTTAGTGCACCAGAGC